AAATTATTATATATATATATATATATATAATTTGTATCTTGTGTGTTAAATAAATATATTAGAATAATTAAAGTTCAATATGAGATAAACATGCATCATTTAAATATGCAAATGACAGAGAAAGTTAGACTTTCTGCTGTATCCAGGGCAAGGTGCATGCTACAGGTGTGTACGTTTCACAACGATGGATTGCAGGTTGTCGTGGAATATTAGTGAATATAACATCCAGTACATTAAGGAAGAGTTTGAATACATGTCCGTTCAATTATTTCGTTCGATACATTACATTCTATTTACTTTCAACTTTAGCAATTCCAAGTAGCAAATGATCGTCATCTGGCGTATTTTTGTCGTCATAATAATCAATTATAACGGCAAAAAAAACGTCAGACGATTACTTGCTACTTGGGATATTTTTTAACATTTTATTTTGTAGATTTTTGAAACAAGGATAAAAATTTTTTATTCAATAAATTAATAGTTCATATTTAAAAATATCGATAAATTTTTTGTATTAAATAATATCAATTATTGCATATATGATTTTTTAAGCTTATAGATTTCTGATTGTACAGATTGCTATGCGCTCTCTTAGATCGCGTGTTTGAATCTGCAGACTAATTAATATGCAGAAGTCATCAATTTTATGCATTGTTGGTTGTTTTTTCGAAGCCAAACCAATGTCAACCTGATTCATAAATGTGATGTTTGTTTTGGAAAAAATGCATTCCATAAGAACCAGCAATCCAGCAAACCCAGATACATACGTGTACACTTCAAAACGGAAATTGCTTGTTCCACTCTGTAGCGTCAACCATCCCACACGCCTTTAGAACGTACAGCAATGTTCCCTACCTTTGATTCGCACTCTACACCAGAACGAAACTCACGGCATTCAGTTTAGTGTTGGAGATTACTGTTATTCCTCTAAAGGAGAGAGCTAGACGCTCGATAACCTATTATTAAATCGAACGAGACTCGACGTTTCTGCATATGCAGCTCTTATTGAAGGACATGAAAACAACTAAATATGCTCTGTTAGAAATATTGAAATATTGAAAACAATCTATAAAATTTTTATGCTTTGGCTAATATCTTAACATCTCGTAACCCACTCTCTTGATGTAAAAAGCGTTGATTCATCCGTTTTTTCGTAATATCGTTATCAGTTCCACAGTGTGGCATGTTTGAAGAAGCTTTGCGTGGAATTTAATCGCGTCTTTGATAATAAACGCATGATAACACTCGATCTAAGCGCCGAGGAATCAATATGATACACGCGATAGCATTCCCGCGGCGACTGGATCGTAAACTACATGTATATACTTGTCTGTCTCTCTATCTCAATTTTTATTTTGTCAAAATTATCATAAGTTATTTATGTAACCAAAAATGCGCGCGATGCGAAAGATTTGAAACCTAAATTATGCAATTTAAGACTCTTGGAATATAAAATATATTGTAATCCATATCGTTCTTTAAATGCTAAATAAATCCAACCTGTTTGTGCACACTTATCAGTGTGCTCGAAAATTTGACTTTAATGACAAATCCAATCCCCTTTAAATTGCGAATGAGAACCTTGTGAAGAAAGAAAGCAATGGACTCAATCTCAAACATAAACTCACCGAGTACAGAGAGGCTGAGACCGGAGCCAGGGCGAGGCGGTCTGTCGGGGGGAGCCATTTCCTTCTTCTCTCTTACACTTTCTCTCTGTTTCTCTTTCACACTATTCTCTGCTATGAAAATGTCTCTTTCTCACTCTTTTTCACGTATAGATACATTCTTCATTCATTCATCTAATAAAGATCCTTCTATACCTTCGGTACGGTACAAAAACCCACTTTAATCATATCACACATATTCACTAAGCGAATAACGCGAGAATAATGCGTGCAGTAGCACGATTAATATGAAGGTGCAAGGAATCGGCAATGAAACGCGCGCACTTGATAAACTCATTGGCTAACTATGGAGCACATGTATGACGGTGAATAGTAAAATCATACAATCTCGTCGAAATTTGCGACACATTCCGCACAGTGATCATTTTTTTCATGATAGAATATAAAATACACAAACATATATGCACAAAAATTCACAGCGTACTGACTGCTACCGATTGCTAAGCTGCCGGTCGAGTGCAGTATCTGGTGGACGAAACGCGGCGGCGCGCAACGCAACGCAGTGCAATGGTCATTTGCATGATGCCTGAATTGGTTGATTTGGTCGGCAGATCGGTCGACCGGTTGACTGGCTTAATCGGCTGGTGGTCGTCTAACAAGTCGACTGATCCTCATAGTCGTTCTTTCACGACGAGCGCTCTCTATCTCCGTTCATCTTTCTTTTTCTTTCTTTTCCTTTCAATCCGTTCTCAATCTCTCTCTCCCTCACAACGTTCCTTTCATCCTCACTAAAGAAACGCATGCGCATCTGCGGGCTGTTCAAGACTACTATAAGAGTCAGAATCTTTTACTTTCAGAAGTTTTATACGTGCTTACGCCTATAGAGTTCATTATTTTCTGACCAGTAGTATTAGGACAGGATTTGTTTTATTTTAATTTCCGCATTTATCAACAAACATCTGAATATTTTATTCTAATTAAAATATTTTCCCTTATTTTCTACTATCTTTTGCTATTTTTCGGGTATCATGTTATCATTTCTCGTCAGTAAAACGCTTCGTTCTTTCAGATGATAGAATCATCGATTCATTTTTGGCCTCATTTCGAAAACGCTCTCTTCGAAGAGGCCGTGCTGCATAAACTGGAGCACGTGTAATCAGAAGGTGCAATGTCTGAGGAGTATGCGACGCGTAAGATAAGATTTTTTATTTGAGGTTCAATAGATTTGCTTAATTATCGCAGCAATATGGGCTTACGTCATGCAGCAGGATGATCCTGAAAATGATTTGCATCGATTTAACACGCATGTCGACCGTTTTTCGTCTAATGCCTGCTGATTGTAGGCATTAGGATAGACTGGAAGGAAGAGCTCGTTATCGGTGAACTTGCAGTGTGAACGACAGTCCGAGTATGATCCTCGAGTAGTTTAGTCGATACTTATTTTTTTCGGGGGTACGCAGTCTATTTACGGCTTCAATTATTAAATAGCGTGCTGGTACGCGTTGTGGATATGCGACTTGCATGTTCGCATTTTGTCAAATGCTTGTAGAACAAACGCTTATTTGCGCTTTTGAAATTGTAATGCTCTCTTTATATAATTCACTCCCATTAATCACGAAAGATTTTCAAGGCTCTCGAGATCGAGCCACTAACAATAAACAAATAGATGTAACGAACCATCGTCTTTTTAAAACAATTATTGTTTTTTCTTTATTTTTGTTTATCAACAATAATTATTATACAATATATTATGGCTACTTCAACAAAAATAACAATTTAAAGATTGTGGTGTAAAATGAACAAACTTACGTTAGCGTAAGTGACAAAAAGTGTTTCACTAAGCACTCATGCATTGTTTAATTGTATTGACACAATATTTGTCTTCTTGCTAAAAAATACACACTCTAAAAACCTTTTATCCAATTTTTATTCAACTCACCTTTTTTGTAGATTTCTGCATTGACTAATGTGTCTTCATCATCAGTGTCAGATCCAAGGGACACTGGTGTGTATACGATGGATTCTCTCGATTTCATGTTTTCCTATTTCAATTACAATGCTCTTCTTTTATAGTACACTCGGCAACAAACTAAAATGCAAGATATAATTATGAGCTATATGTAAGTCGAAAGTTTGGTTTCTATTTAATTTGCTCTTTTTTTCTCTTTTATATTCTAATTAAATTCTAACGCACAGCTTCGTTTCTTTTTTTTTATAATTCTAGAGTAGCATGAAGAATTTTGTTTTTTTCAAGACCTTTTTAGGTGGGCAAACATAGGTCTCGTTCGAAAGGTCTTAAAAAGCCCTGTTGAATGAGACCGGAAAGAAAGGTCTCTATCTCTCACCTTTTCCGAGGAAATTACTTTCGAAGACAAAATTGAAACACTAAAATTACCGAAAAAGAACTGAAATATCTCACAAATGAAAGAAAGAAATATTGTAAGTAATGAGCTATCGAATTTATATTGCAACAGAATTTGTTTGTGCAATGAGATTTTGCATCTATATAGACGTAAAGAACAAAGTAGCGGCATACATCATGCGATAAAATAATTTATATAAATTTTTTATTTTTACAGCCTTACATGGTAACTAACTTTTTGTCACTATATGCGATTTCTCCTTGAGTTCAAGATGCAGGAGTTATTTCGGGAGGTGCGACCGCCACCGTCTCGACGTACCGATAGACGCCGTCATTCTTGTGGGATATAATCATCGAGAAAAATTACGTTTTACGCATTATAAGTATTAACAATTACGATAAAGGAGCAGCTCTTTGTAATAAATACATTAAATTTGTAATAATGTAAGAACGATACTCGTTTGCATTTTCAGGACTTTTTTGTTCTTAGATGGTATTACAATTGTGAATATATACATAGAATCCTTAAGAAAAGTTAAAAATTAATTGTATAATATTTGTTCTAAATAGATTTTATTTATATATGTATGTTTTTTGTCTATATAGATGTGTGGTTTTGTCCTGAACGGTAGTTACGTCTTTGTGCTTCCAGAGGATCATAGATATAAGTACTTTAAATAAAAAATGATTCTGTGTCCGATTGTTTATTTAAAAAATTTGACAGATCATTGTTTATTTTAGTTTTCTTTTTAAATTGTAATTAATATACATTAAGCAAGTGTATTTATATTAAAATTAAGCCGTAAACTTTTATAAAGCGAATTAAAGTAATTAAGTCACAGAATGAAATAATGTGCGCGATCTCATAGCAACATTGAAAGAGTGAAGAGTAACGTGGGATAGCACCGACAGGATATGTTAGCATCCGTTTTCAGATTCTGTCAACGAGTTTTCACATAATGTATCTGTTGAAATGAACGTCAGTGCGCAATAAAAAAGAACAAGTGTTATATGTTATTGATTATTCACATCATGAATATGTATTATATGTATATATCGAGTACTCGTGATATCTGCAGAAATAGATATTCAAAAAATTTTTGTTGAACGTGCACGCGTGCATATGTATGTGAGTTACATTATATAAAAAAATATATATTATTTTATTATTGCCTATCATGTAATCATGTACATAACATTGAGGAAATTTTAAATATAAGCTTCTATTGTAAAATTCAAAGCTTGATGCTTTGCAATACCAATGCAAATCAGCATAGTTTCGTTAATTTTGCGAATTTCAATATGGGTTTTTGTTTAATATTAATAAATATTTCAATGTTGAAATTAAACATTAAAAAAAAATAAAAATTAGAAGTCTTCAAGGTGATATAATTTCCGAAAGTCACGAAAAAAGTGAATAATCTTGCAACTAACTTGCAATACATCTTGGCTTAAATTTGCCAATTTAAAATATTTCAAGTCGGGAAAGGTAAAGTTGTATCTCGACGATTTGAGTTGAACAAACTTGACTTCCTCCTATAAGAGACCCTTGCGACGCTTCGTTCTAATTTTCTTTTCTTCACAGCCGGGTGCGCACGTGCCACCCTACTACCACGTTGATACGAAAGCAGTGAGAAGTCGGGAAATCTCGTACAGAACACTAACAATAAATCCTATTACCATATGGTTTATGCATCTGATGATCCTGGGAACTGACAGGGATACATATCCGAAACTACTGTCGACATTACTCGCGAACTATATTTCTAGCTTCAAACAAACAAGAATTGACGATTGATTTATATTTTTCATGTTCGAGACTTACATAGGTATTCTTACAATAAATTGCATACTATATTATTAAGACGTATGACGTGTAAAATATATATTTTGATATAAAGATACAGAAGTTATGATTATAGTTGTCATTAAATGAAAACAATATTAACAATAATTTGATGAATAGTATTTTCTTGTGTAACGATCACAACGAAATTTTATAATAGTTTTATAATGACTTTCTAATAGGTTTAAAATTTTATAAAAACCATGTGCAATTTTTCAGACAAAGGTGTAAATGTAAAAAATGATCGAGCACGCGAGAGCACATCACCGAAAACGAAATGCCAACGCGTGTGCAGGACTTTCCGGCTGCACGCGAGAAGGTAGCTATGTCCCGCCTTGACGAGTGACTGTTGCATGCTGACAAAAATAGCAGCGCGACGATGTTATAAACCTATGAATACAACGAGCATTCGTATCAACCAGGCGAAAGGAAGAACCTACGTTTCTGGTCGATTTAAAGAATTATTCTGTCCGGAAGAAGTTCTATTTCCGATCCATATCTCTCCAAATATGGTACTAATTATTATAAAAGATTCATACTTTGCTCTCAACATTCTACAATTATTTAAATCCTTAATTGTTAAGAAATAAAAATTCTCTATAATAAAAAATAATTTGTATAAAAAAATAATTAAATTCACGTTAAGATCGTATATATTTTGGATTTCTTGGACATTCAAATTTGTGATCAAAATTTTGCAATTTTTTAATTGTAAACATAATGTAGCAATTAGAAAGATTATTTTGTGAACAAACACAGTTTTTTAAAAACAAAGTATCTTATAAATTTATAGAGAATCACATTCGTCACATTCTGACATAAGTAATCGCAATCTTGAGAAATCGATCGATCAATGTCTTAAAATATACCACATTGTTATAATATGGTACTTAATCTCACTGCAAAGTAAATCACTTTTTTTATATATATGTTTTCGCAATCGATGTGGAAAAACCGTTTAACTATGTTTCTCATGCCTCTTAGACAATTTAAGTTTAAATACTTTTTTTATATCTATTTTTTCTTGTCTACAAATTTCTGATAAAATAATGATTTAACAAATAAGATTTTGTTATCTATTTGCGCGCTTAAATGTCAATTTATAACGTCAGTTAGTAACTTTTTAATTAAATTTCTACTATTAACTATAAAGAATTGTCACATGTAAAAGCTTACCGGTATATCTCAGCCTCAAAATAGGGATGTCGTCAGGCCATCGACTCTTCCCGAGGTTTCTGCGTTTCGCACGTGTATGATGATACTTTGTTCTTTCTTTTTCGATTTTTTAAAATCAGAATGCACTTTTCAAACAGAAGAGAAATTTTGCTTTCGTAAATAAAACAAGTGGAAAGAAGCGATTGAGGAAAGCGCAAAAATACAAAGGAAAACTTTTGGAGCAATTGAGGCAGCTCGTAAACACATTTTGGAGACACGTTTTAAGAATATAAATAAATAAATAATAATAAAATAAATAAATAAATAAATAATAAATAAAACGTCCGGATAGAATGTAATGTTCCGCGAGCTTCCTTATTTTTTCGAAGACTTCTGGACGAATCTGCGTGCTCCGACTAACTGCATCGCGCTACACCGACTCGTTCTCGAGGGAAGGCTCCGTTGTAGCGAGTCTCTCTCCCTCGTACTTTACCCCACCAGATGTTAGACTTGACTATATTTTTGAGAACTGGGTGTAATCGAGCATTTTAGTTTTGTTTGAAATAATGGATTTATTTATATAGAAAATATGTATGTCTCATTGGAAAATGTCATGAGTCAGCCTATATGCATATTGACGAAGTTTTCTTTGTTCTTGAAGATTGGTCCCCAACAGCTAGATTTGTCATTTTTCTTTGACAATTGCTGTTGATAATATTGCTGCTGTTGATGTCCCGATGACATGCCTTCTTTTTTGTCTTTCCTATGATAAGAGAGAGTATCGTGACACTACACAGTACTATCTTGTTCTATAACTTTCTAATAAACATACTTTTTATAGTTAATTCACAGATTATACAAAATCCGTAATTTTTTAATTTTAGTTAACAAGTATAAATATTATACGTACTTAATTTCCTGATAAGGAAATTTAATTGTGGATCCGTTTATGTTAGTATACACCATTTTTCTATAAATCTTGAATGATGAACAATTTTGCTCTTCTTATTCTAGCCTTCAGCTGAATCGATCAAAGCTGATTAAAGATCAATCTACGTTGACGATGAGCAACGGTTCGAAGTTCAATAGTTAAACTTGCTGTTGAATATTATTTGGAAATTTAGTTGCTGCAAAGAGAATTATTGATTTCTCTTAATGTTGCGAAATTAATACATTTGATTTGTCACATAAAACTCTAATATTAACTCTTTGATATACGAAGTTTGATAAAAAAAATATCAACTATCGTCGAGTTTATTTTAACAAGTCATTTCGTTCAAATTTTATAGTGGTTTTTATCAATCGATAAGAACTAAATTCCAACAATTTTTATTACATTACTTTCCTGTTTTACACAGAAATTAACGTCACCGGTTCTTTTTCCTGTAAGTCAGGTGTTTTTCTCTTCAATAAATTAATGTAAAGTTGTGGTATTCTCTAAATGCACAAAAAATCGCAATGCAAGCTCGAAAAAAGGTGATAATTAAAATACTATTTTATCTTTATTTTGAAACGCTTTAAGATGTATGATATTATGAAAATTTTACATTTTGTCAGGCACTTTTTTCATTAAATAATTGACAGAAAAACAATAGTTATAATCGGCAAAAAGCATTTGAAAATAGAGATTCAGAATTTCGAAATGCTTTTTTCCTATACTTTATACAGTTGTTACAATGTAATAACATTTGTTACAATGTTACAGCTATCTAAAATTTGCCTTGTTTTTTGACGAAATTAATGTTTTTAAAAACAGTAGTTATTAATCCAATATTCTAAAATATAGTACAAAAAAATGGCAACATTAGATTTATTACATACTCTATGGCACGTGATGCAAATGAACCAGGACTAATAATTCAAGTCGATTGCCAGCGTTGCCTCGTCGACTCCCTTTGCGTGTTTGAAGATTTTTCGCTAATCTGTGGAGAATGCCAATAAATTTTCATGTATATATTTACATAAAATATTCAGATAATCTAGATACTATAATACCGTATTTCTGCAACACGGTTTCTGCACATTGCTGTAATACGGTTAGAGAAATACGATAAACTTTGCATAGCATGGTATTTTTGAAATTTTTGACCAAAATCCCGATATTAAATATCAAAGGTTAAAACAGCAAATATGTGATTGCAGAAAATTATTTAACTATTGAATAGTGAAAGTTCTATGCTACTCGACGAGCAGACAAAATGAACGTGATCTCTAATGCACCAGCGCGCGTACGTATTTTTCTGTAGAAAAGACGATTAATTGAAAGGCTATAGAATGTGTTGCCTTTTCTTTTTTTTTACAATTCTTGTCACTTACCTGACGCTGGGTAAAAATGTTGGAGAGTTGCCTTGACAATCTAAGATTTTATACCTCATCGACACATAAATCTTAATAATTGCTTGTGAAACACTCGAGTGTCGATCTCGTAATTAAAACTCCACTTGACGTATCAATTTAACGCTACGTTTCTTATCGATAAAACGAATCCACACACACAAATGACTGAATAATTATATTTCGAAATTTGAAAACAGACGTTAAACGGAGTCTCGAGAAAGATTGCCAGTTTTCTCTTCGAACCTGCTGCTTTTACATACTCTCTGAAAGTCCCCTTCCACGCTCATTGACCACTATCGATGAGTGGGAGCTACTAGTGGCATATAATGATGTAGCACTAGTATATGATATTTACGCTATATTTGTTCAATAATCGTGTTGTTGACAATATTTAACACATATCAGTTAAAAAAGTTAAAAAAGAAAAAGAGAAATAAATTATCAACTTTTATAAATCCACTAGAAATAACGTGTAAAAAAGTAAACTGTACAAATTAAATTAATGTCTATAGATTAAAAAACCACTTATTTATATAATCTTTTAATCTACATTAATATTATTATTAAGATAAAATATAAATATATATGAGTTCTTATACATTAGTTGTATGTCCAAGGATCGCAAAAAATTTCAGCAAAAACTTTATACAAGAAATTGAAGTTGAACAGAATCAACTGTTCAAAAATAATTATTTCATTTTTATGTATAAAAATAAAAATGTTTAGAAGCGTCATTTTTCTAAATTTTTTGCCGAAAAGATGCTTTTCCAGCTTTTTTGTCGTAGAACATCACTTTGATGCAAATAAAAATATTCTAACTTCAAAAGTGCAAAAATATATATATGGCCGCGCGATGTATCTAAAAATTAATATTAAACTTACATATCTGCTTTAGTGCAAATAAACAATAATAATTTGAATGAAATAATGAATGAATTAATTTTGATCTTTACTTCAGAAATAATTTTCTCCATTGCGTCATTTCGTTGGTTAATAGTGTTATAAATTTGTTTTAACTAGTTTTTCCAGGTTCACAGAATATTCATCAGTCTTATTTATTAATAAGAGATCTGATCTGTATTTTCATTAATAATTCATCGATAGAATCATTAAAAAATGTCTTACAATGTCTCTAGTAACAACATATAAAAATTATCTAATCCTTTATAATCATCTATATCTTAATCTGCAGAACCAAAGACGCGGATTCCGTTTTATAACGGAACACATAAAATAATAAATACACGATGAAATTATAAATAAGTTTTACAAATAAGTTTAGTAATTTCGAATTTTTTTCAGTTTAACAAGGCATGAAGGAATGAAGAAAGGGGGTTTAATTATATGAAAAATATTAAAACTAAAAAGTGTTTAAAATAAAAAATAAAAAATTAATAAAATTAAAGTAACGAAGAACAGATTCACCGATCTCATGTGCAGACATCCCCCGGCGTATACAGTTACACGCGTAATCACTGCGCAATATATTTTTTATTTTTATGACAAAGCAGTCGCGTGTGTTAACGCCATACCTATTACATTAAATAGAATAAATTATACATTCAGGAGAAAATGAGAATCGATGTGTATAGCTTGCAGCTTAAGGTAAACTAGAATCTGATGCAACATTGATTCCCATGTCGTCAGATTTTATTGCGTCGCAAAATTCTCTCCGTTCTCACAGGTGTTTAACGTTAAAAAATACAATACTTAACGGAAGAAAACGAAATGTCGAATATAATTATCAAGTTCGAGCATGTTCGGCGTGGGATTTGATTTGTTAAAAATAGCAAAATATTTAGCGTATTTATATCTAAAATTACTTTAAAAATGTTTCGTAATTATTTTTATTCCTATTAATTTTTTCAATGTATTTCAACCGCACAAAAAAACAATTATTAAAAAATATATACCTTAATATTAATATTTTTATTACATTAATATCTGTAGTTTCCATAATTTTTTCCACAAAACACAGAACATTAAAAATATCATTTAATCACTAGCAGGATTGCAAAGCGATATAAAGTATTGTTCGTATATAAAAAAATTTATAATCAGAGAAAGAAATTCATGACACTTATCTTTATTTGAGATCTAACATTATTAACAATCAATTTATATTATAGACATGAATTATTAGAACAGAATGTGATTTATTTAAAAAAGTTATAACAAACCAATAAAATATATACAATAAAAATCTAGCATGATGTTTAACTAACTAACTGAAACAGTACAGCTTTTCAGAGGTGTCAAATTAATTAAGTTATTCGAATTTTCAGCTAATTCTGTGATACTTATTCTACCACGTTGTTGTACAAATGTAGCAATAGTATAAAGTTCATCTTCTGAGATGTAAATAAATTTACCTCTATCATCAATTACTCCGGTTAAATTACCATCGGCTTTTAATTCTTGAATTCTTTCTATTACGCTAGCTGTCTTCAAACCAAAATGTGCAGCTAGGTCTTCTAAAACCAACACTTTATTTTCCTTTATATATGCAAGAAATTTTTGTAATAAATCCTCTTCGTATTCTTTGTTTTCCTGCTCATAACCTTCTTCTTCAATGTTAAAAGCTTCTTTCATCTTTAAATATTCTTCGTACTCTCTCTTTTCCTTTTCTTCTCTGACTTTTTTCTCAGCTTCTTCTGCACGCAATTGCTCCGCATGTTCTCTCTCGGTCTGCTTATCCTTTTCTTTTTGTAAAAGCTCTTCTCGTTTTTTACGTTCTTCTCTATCTCGTTCTGCAGCTTCTCTCTGGAGCTTCTTCTCTGCTTTAGCCGCTAGCTTTGCTCGTTTTTTCGTTCCTATTTTATGATCTGGTAATTCAACTTTATCATCCATATCTTCGTTACTTTCATCTATTTCTCTGTTATTTTCCTCATGGGATTGATGAGCATTTCCCTGCATACGATGTCTAACATTTCTAACACCAGTTGCTCTTCTTATTGGTCGAACATGTGCTATTGCATCTTGAGTATTAGTTTGGTTTTTCTGGGTACCTAAAGAAAAAAATATGCTTGTTTATTAATCGGTATAAGTAAAAATTTTTTTCAATAAATAAGATACAAAAGTTCTCAAATTTCTACAATTGTTTAGTCAATTGACAAATCAATTTAGATCTATTAATTTTTCATAATACATTTTATTTATGAAATTAGTAGTTAGCAATATGCAACTGATATAACAGCTGCTTGAAAATCAATTTGAAGGTTAAGTAATGGATGTAAAATGAAACTGATTAAAAAAATTATTATTAAACAAGAACGTACTGAATCGGCGTTGTAAAAATGCAGTACATATGATAATTAATACAATAATCACTGAGGCGGCAAATATCAACAAAGTGACATCCATTTTAACGATGATTCCGGCACAATTCGGATACTACTATGATTATACTGCGCTTACTGTCGCTTACGCGATGGCTAAGCAGTATAAGCAGTCTCCTACTTTACACACAGCGGGAAATAATAGGTTGCTACAAGTCCACAGTGCTGTGATCTGTATTGTGGAATTTTCTGTACTTCACTTTTTTTACTTTAATATAATCAGAAGGGGAGAGAAAACGCAAAAAGAGAAATGTATGAAAACAGAAAATACAAGATCGTGAAAAAATAAAATAAAAACTTCCTACTATGTAGATCTGTTACGCTTGTAATTACATTTTTATATATTTTGTTTTTCTCCACTGCTTAATTATATGATTACTTTGTTTTGAGCGCCAAAAATACAATAATTGTTACATGAGACAATATAGACTAAATTACATAACACACAACCAAGTTATATAATAAAAAATGTGAAAGAAAATTTATAAAGTTATCTATAAAAATACATATAATTTTGTATTATGTATTCTCGTATTTATAACAAGATTATCTTCACAAAAGAGTCTAATTTTCCTTGGTTCAATATTCTTAATAAAACTTGATGTAAAATTTGAATTTATAAACTTGTGTTATTTATATAAATCTTTATGTTAAATTTTATTGAACATCAATTGCTTTATACCTTAAAAACTTAAGTTAGGATCTTACAAATCAATAACAATATTAAAAATACATATAAACTTGATTAGAATCTAAAACTTATTTATATGATTTACTTCTTTAATATATTACATACAAAATAACGTGATAAACACATAAATGATGATTTAAATGTTATTCGTTTAAATTTTAATAAGCATACTACAATATACTACATTCTGTTCAGACACAATTTTCGCTATAATTAATGTTATCATTTCCGCGACGGTGCGCAATATTGCAAGAATGATACTGTAAAATTTAATCCTTCATCAAGCATAATGCGTCGGCGGCACCGTTAAATCTTGTAAGACACCCAATTGCTCCTCCGTAAAGTGTTGCTTGTGATCTATCCAACCATCATAATGCGTTCGTTTAAAATCACTCAGAGTCTTCCTTATTGTCATCTGTAATTTAAACGTTGAAAAAAATTTATTAGACATTGGTAATTATCGTATAATAAATGGAATCAATTTTGGTAAATAAACAGTAGAATATTCACAAATATTTAAGAAAGATAATTGTATAAAGAAGCAAAGAGAAATAATCAACTTACCGGTATGGGTTGTGGATCGTTCATGTGAAGAGAGAGATGCTCAAATATTGGAGGCACGTATTTGGGCACATCGTACGGATGAGCACGAATAAAAGCACACAGTCCGAGCACGGCAGCATGACGCATACGTATCGCGTCAATGTTGGCGTTTCTCAACGCGTCCCCGTCGGTAGGAGTAACTCTTTTGTGCAATCGTGTCCTTGATTTACTCTTGAGTTCCTCCTAAACGCACAAATATTTTAGTCTCGAGCATTACTGCATATACTAGATATCATTAATGCCTTAGACTTCCGATTAAATATTTTCACATCTCTCAATAATCTCTGGATCATACACATTTACACATTCGAATATTATGACTGTTAAAAAAATTCAGAGCACTATCTAAAGAATTTGTTGATTAATTAAGAAATTAAAAACAAAAGTCCTAAATCGGAAGTGCAAAGAATCAATTATACCTGCTGTATTAGAAGTTCTAAATAATATTCAACAACTTGCCAACAGCTTCTCCTGGTCGACGATAAACGTGCAATGTAACAATCCGCCGAGCACTTGACTAGCTTTTTCCCTAACTTCTAAACGGTCGTCCTCCAACAAGCGCAGAACGATACTTTTAACACATTCGATCCACGACAAGTTACTAAGAATTATACCCATATTGTGAAAAACCAATACTTGAAGGTATTCCAAGCAAGTAGATCTTGCTGACCATGACGAGTGTTCGGACATCGTCTTGATCGCGGCTAATGCTACCGACATAACTTCCGGCAGTGTAAATGCATGTGCGAGTACTGCCAGAGTGTGTAAACACATCTTATTGAGCTCCTCATCCCCTTCCGTATTCTGTAACTGACATATGATGGGGAATATCTGATAAAATTCTGACACTGCAGCATATTGCGAACAAGACGCACTACTTATAATCCATTTGCAAACAGTTTTCAACAATCTTCTAGGCACTTCCTGCTCTTCTGCTTCAGACATAGGTACTTCCGGCAATCTGTCAAATGAAACATTAGCCACTTTCTCCGACAAACTCTCTTCCTTATTCAGATTATTCATTTTTGCTACATTGTCATCTTCTACAAGTTGCTCCAATCTTGGCACAATCTTATCGATCAAAGTCTGCATTCGCGGAATTAAAGCGTCGGAATTGTGTGGAAATTTGAGATCTAGATCAAACACAGTAACCAACATGGATCCCAAGCGTTCACGTAAGTTCTGGAACGGATTGGTTAACAATCGGTCTTCCAAGCGCACTAGCAAACGCTGCAACAATTCAGTCACTCGCCACCTTTGTTGGTTCAGAGCACTTTGCAGCACATACAGACGACCGCATTCCACGAACGAAGATTCCAAATCCTTCAGAGGCGGCTCTTCCATCAGACACTCTAGCAACCAGTGATGCCGATTTGGATCTCTGCATTGCTGTGCCGTTGCGAAGCATATTCCCCAATCCATGACAGTCTCCTCCGTCAAATTTACGATCGCAGTTCTTATGATCGGCAATAACGCCTGCCACATGTCGCACGTCATTTGAAACGGCCAGTGCTTGGCGCCTTTGATAATTCCAGCCATGATCTCCGCAACGCATCGTTGACTGCTTTCGTGTTTGTCCATCACTAGCCGCTGCAAATGCGGCAGAAAATGTTTCAAATGAACGATCCCATGATTGCGAAACAGTCTCTTGAACAGGAAACATCTGTTTGCGTTAAACTTGTCCTTGCCCTTCTTTTCCTCCAGACTGAAATAACTGATAAGCTTGTCGATGTTGTGCGGATTGTCGAAAAAGTGATAGACCTCCTTCTCGCAGTCCGTCAGCTCGCGTGCTTCCGGATCGAGGCAAAGTTGTTGAGACGAAGGAGCATGTACTTTCAAAATTTTCGGCCACGCGTAATAACCTACGTATGGTTTATGAGCGTATCTGGGCTCGTCCCATTGTTCGGCGGTCAACGGACGGGTCTCATAATTGTATTGAAGCCACCTATTGTCAGTTCTTAGCCCCGGTGTAACATTTCGCGATAGCTCCTCCTCATTTGAAGTGCTGCTCTGCTTGCATAGGCTGCGTATATCAACTGTTACCTTTAAGTATATGTTTTAATACAATTTACGCAAATATATATATATATACATGTAACGAATATTCGTCATACAAAATCTTATAAGAATTGCATACCTTCGGATGTTTTCGCTTCTGTTGCTTCAACATAAATATCACCACCCTAATAGCGATCTTTCTTTCCTCCAAGGAATCGTGTATGAGTGTTTGCAGAAAGTAACGCACTACTTGCGCGGAGTAGGCTTGATCCGGATGAACTAAATCTCGTATAAAGCCCATCGCCATTAGTTTGTGTCGCCAGTGCAGTGATTCCTCGAGTATACAACGTAGCAATTCATCCTGCAATCCGGTATACGCCGTCAGATTAGATTCGTTCATTTTCCTCAAGTTCTGCACACCTTTCTGCATCTCATTTTCATCGGGTTGCGGCAAACTCGGTTGCGGAAAGTGTTTCCACAACGCGCGTGCGGCTGTCAAGCAGCTGTCGGGCATTTCAAATTTGATCATACTCGTGTAGAAGTGTTTGTTTACAGCAAGTACAATCTCCTCCTTAAGACGGATCACCGACAGCTTCTCGGATGGCTTGGAAAGCACGATGGCCGGCCACAATGATCTCAGTATATTCAAATCTACTTTCGTAATAACGGAGCTTTCCGATCCGAGCAACAAATAGAGGACACCCTGTTTTTAAATAATTAAAAAATTTAATATATCGCTGAGTAAATAATTACTTATATACAACGATTGTCATTTATAATGTAACCATCGTTACCTTATATGCATCGTGATGTTTCTCGGTGTCTTTCGCCAAAATATCAATAACATGGGGAATTATAAGTTTATGAGAAAACGGAAAGAACTTAAAGACGGAGAAAAGGCCGGATTGCGCTTTCGAACGCACGTCCGCGTATCTGCTCACAGCCAATGTGAACAGTTCCAATATTATTCGTTTATGCGTTTCCGTTAATACGTTCGACTGCAGTACTTGTCGAAGAACGTATTGCGTATCACAACGCTCCAATATTATCGGACCCACTCGGCCTTTGTTTTTCAGCAATTTATCCTCAAACATTCTCTTGGCGACTTGAAAATTTTTGCGTCGGGCTTCGTACACTTCGCGCGGTTGGGTTTTTCCCAGTAACAGACTGTTCCAAATCTACAATTTAAGCGAAACGCTCTTGAAAATCTTACGTGATAAACAAAGAAAAACTTGGAGAATGTGTTCTGTTTGTGAGAAAACTGTTTTACGCACCTGTATTAATGCGAAGAAACTCTTTGTATTGTCCTCCGCGTTCTCAAGCATCGCCCGCTGAACTTGGCTCATAATCCCAACAAGATAATATCTAACATTGCTACCGTCGGGCATCGTAGCGTGTTTCTTTACTTCATTTAGAGGCATAATAGATATATTATATCTTATGGAAGAATCAATTAACTTGAGCGGTTCTTCTTCCCATGTTGGTAAAACGTGCTCCGAGCCTTTAAGAATGTTGCATACGATATTCAGACTGGCAAACAGCTCCTCCCTATAATTATTTGCATATTTTTCTATAAACTTTATCATTTGACACAATCTAATCTAAATATTTTATACATTATTCAAAAAACTTTGTTTTTTACTTCTGTTTGAATGGCGCAAAAATTCCGTAACTTTATACTTTTATCAAAGATTTAAATCTTCAAAGCAATATTTTTCGAAATATAAAATAAGACAATATTAATATGAAAATATGAAAATGTATCACAATTGACCTAGTTAACGTGTTCGAATCTTCGCAATATCCTTTAAGCTTATCAATCTGGACGATTAAATATCTCGAGAATATTCGTTGTATAGCAGCGATCTCTTCTTCACCAGGAATGTACCAATGGATGCGCAAGTTATCGATATCCACGTTTTTACCCCAGTCTCTGATGTAAGGATAGTCAGGATCATTGTTGTCTTTGTTGTCGAACTTGTACTGGTACGGAGTGGTGAGCGACAATGATGAGAGAACAGATTTCAACAAGCGACAGGCTAGTTTATTCCCGTCGGTCGATTTCAACAGCAAAACACGATCGAGAATCTTGAGCAGCGTATCCAAATGCGGTATCAAGTTACTGCCCGGTGTGTCGCAGATCGCGGACAATATGAGCATAGCGTGCAGAAGCCGATGATCCAAATTCTCCTCCTTCAGCACGTCGTCTCCCTCGGTCAGCGGTAAAATGGTCTGCGCCAACACAGGCACCAACGCGCGTAGAGTATTGCGTCCTCTGAAGCGAGTGAAGCTCTTGCAAACTACTGCTGCCAATTGACCGGCGACTTTGGTCTCGAGAATTCGTTCCGTTATAAATGTGCGCAACTTGTGTAGAGCGCTCTCGAAAATCGCGTCGCTGGTATTCATCAGGAGAGTCGTGCATACGCCAGCAAGCGCCGTTTCCGCGACCTTCTCCAGCTGACTTTTCCAGTTGTCGCCACCACTCTCGAGCCGCACGTTTTCCAACGAACTGGAGTCTATAAATATGAACACTCTGTCTAGGAACTGCAATACAAAGTCCTCGAAACGTGAAGTCGCCTCGCAGATCATCCTCTCATCTTCGGTCATAACTGCGGTCGACCTAGAGGAATCCACAACAGGAATCAACGTGACGAAGACGGAAATAAAACGAAATGTAGCGAAACATTTTCCATTGTCGTTCGGATCGATTCCAGGTAACGAGGAGAACAGCAACGGCAATACGTGCGCTGGCCCTTCTGGATACGTGTAATCTTCATTTATATTCCTAGAGCCTTGTACCAGTGGTCTGGCAACAACCGCCATGGAAATCATGGAGGCCGTAAGTTTATGCGGTTCGGTCAATGAATCGAATGTCGAGTACATTCGTTCCAATATATTCGGTATTACTAAACTTGGTCTCATAGTTGCAAGGAATTGTAGAGCTTGGCAGGCCTCGTTTATAGCAAATTTACTGTACATTGCTGTCATAGCTGTCGGCAGTATACCCTTAACGAAAGAATCGACATCACTATCAGTTAACTTGTAATTGTCAGGAATTGGAGTTTCCCACGTTGGCTTGGCGTATCTTTCTCTGAAATCATACAAACATGTTATTCAATTATTTTTATAAAACATGTACTTTTATTTCTGCACAATGTTGAGTAAAATAAAAACATAAATAAATAAAGAAAAATACAATAAAAATGCATACATCTAAACATCTACATACTTGTGTAAACGTTGGATGAAGTAATATGGAAGTCTGGCAAGAAAATCTCTTAATTTCACTGTCCATCGTCCATAATTTGCTGGATAAAGATATGTCTCTATAGTTTTTAAAAACTTTTCCAAATACATCTGTGCACTTGAGCCATTTCCCTGCAAAATATATATAGATGTTAAAATATATTTCATTACTATTTATATTCACAAAAGAATTTGCATCATCTTACCAAAATTGCTACTATCCACATAGCCATTGGCATCACTTTTAGCTTGTGAATCTTGTTGTGATTAGACATTTGCTTATATGTTACAGGTAAGTTCAAACACCGTATAAATCTAGTAAACATTAATGGAAAATGTGGTTCCCAGTCGATATATCCAATATTGTGAGTCGCTAATTTTGCCATTAACCACATTATACTGTCTTCCCATTGTGGCGCATTGTGGCATACTTTCCACATAGTCATAAATTCATCAAACCAGAGCTGATATCCCATGGAATGATGCTTAGGAGGTAGTTGCAATGGTAAGAAACACTCTAAAAGCAGAGTGCTTTCACACGCTGCCGATTCATCAAAAGGACAGAGTAATGGACGTAGCTCATCTAATATTTCTTGCGTGGCGTTCAACTGTCGCAATAATATGGTTAAATATAATTAGTCATGTGCTGAATCCAGACATATCTCTTTTTCTTTCAAAAAGCAATCCTTACAGGGAAATAAGTCTTCACGCAACGAATTACACAATATAATAAATTTGCAAAGAATGAAGGTGGACGATATATTCCTGCTGAGTTTTTCCTTAGAGGCTGCAGTAACTCGTATAAAGGTCTCCATGGAAGTTCCAATTCATCTGGACTAATTAATTCTTTTTTACTGAAAACAATAAATTATATTTTTTTTTTAGAACTTTGTCACGTGTATATTCAGAAATGTTTAATATGTGTACTTGATCAACAATGTCCATCAATTCCTATTTTACTTACTTTAGTAAGTTAATCAATGTTCTGGCGATGCCGGTTATAAAGTCTACTTCTAAATTTGGTATAGTGAAAAGCTCATATACTAATTTCACGAACGTTATATGATCCTCTTTGCTAAATTTCATTCCACATAGCTCTATATATCTGAAAAAGAATTCCACCCGTGTGTTAAGATAAAACTGTATAGCGATATAACATATCGTTAAAAAAATTCAACTGCAAAAGCGAAACTGTTACTTACGTATCTAATCCGCTCAACCAACAAGTGCATCCTTTGATTTCACGAAGCATAACAGCATATCCTAGATTACCTTTGATCTCGGCAAGCCACTTACGTGCTTCCACATCAAACTCGTCCGCATAGGGCAACAGTTTATTGTACACCAACTCCTTTTGCGGTCGAAAACCCAGGTCCGTCCTGAACGACGACGACGACGACGACGAGGACGACGACATCATCGGATTGTCCTCTGTGTCACGATTGCACTTATCAACCATGGTCTCGTCTCGCGTCTATTTATCTTTTACAGTAAGCGGTAGAGCCGACTAAGATCGGCGAAATGACTGGAACAATTGCGATATCATGCACGATGGTTGAATCAGTGACAACTTGCTGATTCCTATTCATTTTTATCGAGTCATGTTTCGCGTCATTCCGCGTCTAAGGAGCCATGTTTGATCGGTGAAAGTTGGTAAAAGCTTGAATTTACGAAAGATTCAAGAACAGCTGCGTCAGAATTGGTTTTCATTGCATTCATACAAACTAAACCAAATGAGTAACTAAAATTTATAAAAGTGGCTTCATACTGCGTATATGAGCTTTTTACTATTGAATCGATCCCGATGATTAATGACGTCATTGCATCGTCTCCACCAATAAAAGACTTGAATTTATATTAACATAGTAATTAATTGATTCACGATGGATCAAAATCCGTTCGTTCGAAAACGCTATATATCATTGATGTCACATCTAGATATTTGTACATTATGGCTTAAAGTTTGGCATTTTCAAGTGTTTGACAGATGCAAAAGATTTAATGTAAAGTTTAATGCAAAATGAACAACAGGTTTTGTGTTCCGCAATGAATTAATAAAAATTGACTAGATTTTTTTAACCAGCATATAGACATGATGTCGGTTGAGAATCTTTGCGTTTACGGCATTCATCTATCAGCGTTTGTTTCAGTTTGTTTCGTAATGAAAGCGGAAGTTGGATTTTAAATGTGATGTTTAAGTTGACAGCTGTGCGTCACATTCCGAAGTTACAGCTTGAATTGGTGACATCCCGTTGCCGACGTGGCCGGCATTGAGAATGGTCCATGTACTTGAAAAGTAGAAGCATTTACACACGCATGTACGCCATGTACATTGTGATGGTTATGGTTACAATAAAACAATAGAGATAATATAAGTCATCGAATTTTGGAACAAAACAAGCCGGTTTTATGTAATTCATAATTCTATTACAGATTTAAAATGCTCATTAAAAATTTGCAATAAGTTCAATTAACGTATAGTTTTCTGTAATAATAGGTTACAATTGGATATGTTAATCACAACATAAATGTTCACACAATATGATCAACTGGCAACATCGATTAGCATAAACTACTGGATGCAGGCTTTACAATTATCTTAAAGTTAATGTGAAAGAAAGATTTGTCACATTAATATGCGGACCAGAAGGACAATAGCTATTCTTGGAGTGGGTTTGATTCTTGCCTGCTGTGCGATGATCTATTTAGTGATGGATCTAACTCTCTTCCCACCTGAACAAAATCCCAAGTTTTCTGTGAATGATGTAAGCTTTAAGCTGTTGTTTTTGCTATGCTAAATTGATTCTTTTCAGTCTATTATTTTACAGAGAAATAAAATTTTAAAAATAGAAATTTAAGCCTGGAGAAAATTAAAATATGCTACAGGTTATAAATGTGTTGATCCTTTTCAGAATCAATGGCTCCACTTTGAGAACAGACTTGCTAAATTGGAAAAGGATTTTGACAAACATCATAAAGTTATGAATGCCCTGCAAGAGCAAGCAGCAAAAATTAAGCACAATTTTATACCAGTCATACAACCCTTTCATTCAAATAATTCTGACATTACAATATTGCGTTCAAGAAAGAGTCTTACATGTAATTTTAATATTCAAAAAGTACCAGAGGTTGATATACAAATGTTAGAGATGTACAAACAGTTGGAATTTGACAATCCTGATGGTGGAGTTTGGAAGCAGGGCTGGAATATTGCGTACGATGAGAAGCAGTGGCATCCCAACAGGAAATTAAAGGTGTTTGTTGTACCTCATTCGCACAATGATCCTGGATGGTTGAACACATTTGAGAAGTACTACACTTTTCAAACGAGAAGCATATTGAACAATATGGTGACTAAACTTGGCGAGGACAGACGACGCAAATTTATCTGGGCAGAGATATCGTTTTTCAAACTCTGGTGGGATGATCAATCCAAAGCAGTAAGAGACGAAGTGCGTCGTTTGATACACGACGGACAATTGGAGATTGTGTCGGGTGGATGGGTGATGCCAGATGAGTCTGTGTCCCACTGGATCGCTCAGCTCACGCAATTGACCGAGGGTCATCAGTGGCTAAAGTACAATCTCGATTACACACCAAATTCGGGATGGGACATTGATCCCTTCGGTCTTTCTCCCACCATGCCGTATCTCCTGAAGGGTTCAGGTTTGGAGAATCTTCTGATACAGAGAGTTCATTACTCGGTGAAAAAGAGACTAGCCAAGGACAAGAATTTAGAGTTTCGCTGGAGACAGTTATGGGACAATGACGGCGCTACAGAGCTATTCACACATGTTATGCCGTTTTATAGTTACGATGTGCCTCACACATGCGGGCCGGACCCGAAGGTATGCTGCCAATTCGATTTCTACAGGATGCAGAACTTTGGTCTCAGCTGTCCGTGGAAGGTTCCGCCAAAGACTATAACTAGAGCGAATGTAGCGGAGAGGGCGATGCTTTTGCTGGATCAGTATCGCAAGAAGGCGCAGCTCTTTAAAACCGACGTAGTGCTCGCGCCTTTGGGCGACGACTTTCGGTACACGCATCTTACAGAGTGGGAAGCTCAGTATGACAATTACCAGAAACTTTTCAACTATATGAATGACAATCAGCATTTGAACGTTGAGATACAATTCGGGACACTGAGCGATTACTTCGAAGCAGTTAGAGAGAAGCGCAATTTAAATGAATTTGCAACCTTGTCCGGCGATTTTTTCACATATTCTGACAGAGATGATCATTATTGGAGCGGTTACTACACTTCTAGGTACAAAAACTTTTTTTTTTACATTTGCATATTTAACACTTCTGCTGTCGCCATACAGAGCGCCACACACGCTATGTTCACTATGTTTGCTATGCGTACGAAAAATAGCTTCCTTTAGCTTCCTTTATCGTAAGTGACCGTGCAAAGCGCTACGCTATGCATGTTACGTTTTCTTTGTGTGTGGCTGGAAAAGATAGTGAACATAGCGTGCGTAGCGCTCTGTGTGTGTGGCCGTAGCATTCTAGTCTTAATTTAATTCTTGAATCTATACAGGCCTTTCCACAAACGATTAGATCGTGTATTGCTGGGTTCTTTGAGAGGATCAGAAGCCTTAGCTGCTATAGCTTGGGCTAGAGGTAACGATCAGCTGGTGGAAGGAAGTCTCGCGTCTCGTTTAAGCAAGGCCAGAATGCTGCACTCTCTATTTCAACATCATGATGGAGTCACTGGAACCTCTAGGGACAATGTTATGATAGATTACGCCCAGAAGATGATAATGGCATTGAATAGCTCGGCTCACGTACTTCAACAATCAATAACACACTTGCTGAAGACTCCACAAATATCATCCATAGATGTGGAAGCTATGTATTTTTCATTAGATGAAACTAGGTATAAAAATAATTCGCAAGTAACTCGTATTTCGCAAGTGCAATGGTATAATGTGTAACCGTTTTGCAGATCGCACCACACAAGTGCGGGTGAAAGGCACGTTCTTAGTCTCGGCGATGATAATCCTTCGAGAAAGGTTGTCCTGTACAATTCTCTCCCGCGGCAGAGAACGAAGGTGCAAACTTTGATCGTGTCAACACCGTTCGTTAGAGTCACAGACCGCAAAGGACAGACCGTCAAATGTCAAATCTCTCCCGTTTGGATCGGCCCGGCTGCATTGTCCGCAGCTAGATACGAATTATCATTTCTAGTCACTGTACCAGGATTCGGTGTTACTACGTACATAGTTCACGCATTACACAAAGCGTCATACACGAAGTAAATGAGATACAATTTTTATGAATAAGAAGTGATGGAAAAAATATATTTAATAACTTTGTTCGACTGTTAATTCATTTTGGATTACTATGTAAAATATTTCACATATATATGTGTGAGATTTGATGCGCTGAAGGAAAAATTTATATATTTCTTTTCTCAAAACAGAGGAGTGTATCCGGCCAATGTGACAGTCTTTAATACCGACATCAGCATCCCGTCGATACCCGGTTTCAATCATCTGACGATTCTACCACATACGCAAGAATTCTCAATCACTCAACGTCCAGAACTGTCCGTCTCCTTCGGAAAGTCTGGTTTGTTGAAGGCTCTGCGAGTCGGCAACGCCACGTTTCCTGTGCATTTGGACTTTGTGAAATACGGTACCAGAGGTTCCGGCAAAGACAAAAGTGGCGCCTATTTATTCTTGCCTGATAAGCCGGAACCAGATCTGGTCTTTATGGACGGCAGAGCGATCATTCATTTGACAACCGGACCGATTTTATCGCGAGTGTTTATAGAATTACCGCATGTGCGGCACATATGTACACTGTTCAATTCTCCGGGTAGCGACGGACTCGGATTGCATATACTCAACGAGGTGGACATAACAGAAACGCAAAATTATGAACTCGCAATGCGTTTCAATACAGACATAGCTTCCGGCCACCAATTTTTTACGGATTTAAATGGACTCAACGTAAGGAAATATAGTGAATTAAAAATAGTAATCTTAGAGTGATTTTTAGCAAAATTATTATATTCGTTAGGTGCTACTTGTCAATATTTTTTAGATGATTCGACGACAAAGGTTCCCCAAGCTCCCCACGCAAGGAAACTACTATCCAATGGCAGCAAGTGCATATATAGAGGATAAAAAAGCTAGATTAACAATCCTCACAGCGCAACCGTTAGGAGTAGCCTCTATGGCGTCCGGGCAGCTTGAGGTAAGTCAATAAGACCATACTTTGTCTACTTTTATTTGATTACGAAAAAAAAAAAAAAATTAAACTATAACCAAGACCGCTGACAATAATTTCTTACAAATTCTTTTTTTTAAGACTAATAAGATTGAATGTGTATATGCCATTCAAATTTATAAATAGATCATGCAAGATAGAAGATTACTTCAGGACGACAATAGAGGCTTAGGGCAAGGCGTGATGGACAATCTGCTAACGAATCATATGTTCACATTAATTCTGGAAAAGAAGGAGACGAATTGTCCCTCTGCAGTGCCACCAGCGGATCATCCTGCAGGATTATTATCCTTAAGCGGCCATCTAACGTCGGAAGAATTACTGCACCCAGTGGTAGCGCTACATCCTCGTAATTCTCTACCATTTGATCTTCACGCCCATTTCTCGCCGCTACGATACGATCTTCCAGTAGACTTAAGCGTTATCAGTTTCCGAGTGTTTCCCATTCCCGAGGGTGCTGGCAAGGGTATTGGTATGGTGTTGCACCAATCAGCCTTAGACACTTGCTTCAACAATTCTCTCCTGCGACGTTTCAACATGTCGGAATCGGGAGAGATCGATTTAACCAAGTTTCTCAACGACATGGAAGATTGGACTATAAGCAAAGCGCCCCTTACGTTCCACAATGTTGGACCGTCTCTGAAATCGCCCGTCGTAAACTTGTGTCCGCATCAAATATTGCCAATCTTATTTCATAAAACGCAATCCTAATCGAAGACGCAAGTATTTAATTCAGCGTACGTTACTTTTTATTTATCCAAATTTTGTTTACTCAAGATTATGTAGTCCAAGTGCGCCGAGGCTGATGGATTCGAATTGTCTAATTTATATCTGAAACAGCATTAGATGCATGGAAATGTTATTGCTTTGCAAATCTTAACGTAATTTATATGCTGCAAGCAAATAGACGACTCAAATATAGTCTAAGCAATAGAGAATTTCTTGGAGATTACACACATACATATATATATATTTACATATATGTATATATATATATGATACATATATATATAATAAATATATATATATATATATATATATATA